GGATTATTATTATTATTGCTGGCTTTATTCAATAATATATTTTTGGTACAATATAGAATTCTTAACACGAAGTGTTTCAGCAATTTTCCTTTTCTTATTTTTTGATCAATCTTGACAATATATATTGAGTGGTCGCCCGTTAGATGTTAGCAGTTCAGGAATTAACATCTGAATAATCTTCATTCTTTTCAAAGCATATTTCCGACCACCACTTCTTATGTAACTTGTACTGCGAAAGGTCGTAATTATTTTCAAAGATGCTCCTAAATAAGTTCTGTGATTAATAGACAATGATGATTTGTTGAAACATACAAAAAGGACGAATAACTTGTTGAAATATTTAGACGGTAGAAACAAGTCACTCAAATATTCAAACAGACTGCCTTAAAGATAGAATTGAGGTAGTATGATATGATTCTACTTTATTGGGTTAGATTCTCTTCAACTGATAGTTATCAGTTATAATATATTTTAAAAGTTAAACTTCACATTACTTAAAACTGTGTAATTAGTTTGATGTGGATTTATATCGCAGTATGATGAAGTATTCAGTTCGACTGAATGCAATGAAGTAATATAAACAATGTAGTCAATTAATATAATATATAATACAAGATTCTAGATCATCAGAAACAAATAACACAAGATCATTCAGCTAATGTAATGTAGTAAGCGAACATGAATTTATAGTTATTAAGAATAATATGAGTTCAGGTTGTTATAACTTGTGACCTATGTGCCCTGTTAATGGATAAGTAATAATACCGCCAATTAGGGAGCAGTGACTTATCGATCGAATCAATGACGCGTAAAACCCCGTACGAGCAGCCTAGAGTCCTGATTGGTCCTGCTTTCCGCCTAGCTCAGCCAGTTGAGTCCAGAACACTAATCTCAACCTCTGCAATATAAATCATTTATTTTAAACGTACGGGGTTTATATACCAATCAAACAGACCACAACAGCCAAATGTGGCTGTGAATGAGAGAGGCAGTGACTAACAAACAAGAATGGTAAAGCGTATAATAATGGTTTATAGGTCAAAATAAAACTCATAATAAGAGGGATATGAATATGAATAGTTTAGTTATTTAACAATTATACGACAAAAATATACGTTTGGTATTGGTCCATAAATGGATCCCAAAGTTACCATTCATAATGCTTATCGGGAAATAAATTGTTGAATTTTTTCAGAAAGTGATGATGTGATTAAAGTATAAGAAATTGTTGCAAGAATATTGTGTGATAAACTGATGATTACGTGAAAATATTGAGGGAAGCTTCCCACTATTTCCTTTTTAGATATATAAATCTGGCTTCAGATATTTGACGGCTGTGACTTAAGCAAATTTGTAGAGATTAGATTTTTATTATCATTTGACGATCCTGAAGGATTTCAGTATAATATCAACTTGCTGTTGAGATGGTGGAGAAAACTTGTAGGTCAGGTGGATGATTAAGGCGGAGTTTTGTCCTCTGAACTAGATGGTTTGAACACAGAGTTCCCATTGTTTTTGTGAATAATCATGGACAAATATGGGACCAATAATCTAATCATTCCAACATACAATAAAAATAAAGAAGTAAACAATAACAAGTTAAAGGTCAACACTAACCGATCAAGATGGAGATCGACAGTACAAACTGTGCGTCATATGTGGAGAACACTTCACTTCTACTTAAAGTTTGTGCTGATGATATTGTTCAGAAGAACAATGAAAGCTTCACGACAAATCCATCCAGCTCAGAGAACAAGACTCCACCTAAACCAAAGGTGTCGTAAGTTGGCAAAAGCCATCTTAACCAACTTGTCCTTGATCCTGTTCTCATAAAATATCCAGAGCACAAAAATATGTGAGAGAACAATTGTTTTAAGTAAATTCTGTCATCAGGCTTTATAGTTTTAAGTCCATAATTATTGTTTTATTTTAGAATAGTCAAAATAAATCACGTTAGTGAAGTGAATAGTGTTGTTGTGTATGTAAGAAATAGTAAATTGTTGCATCTGTTACTGCATAAACACTTCAAAACTGTACCGTTTGTAAATTAATAGGGTCAGTTACAAATAATGTAGTGGATTCGTTGTAAGTTATCACGCAATCAATGTAATAATAATAACAACTGGTATGGATATGGAAATATGGGTGAAGTGATCGTTTAAATAGTCTGTTCAGTAAATACACGGTCTGAGAACTATATTTTACTGAATTCAAAGTACATTAAAGCATCTCCTCCAGAATACAATAGATCTAATGCATTAAAACTTCCATCTATGTTTTTATTGTCTAAAAATCATCCATGATAGTCTTCTAATATTAAGATTTTCAGTTGCCTCTGCATATCACATTTTGTTTCGTCACACATCATCTCATTATTGTTTCTGTATGATAATTACATATTTAGATAACAAAAAATATCACTTATAGAGCTGCATTTAGTGATTAAAACTTGTGACCTAGTTTATTGATCAAACTAGCACTAAGAAATCCAATGGTAATCATTGATTAATATGTAGGCCAACTGCCATTATACAGCAGCCATAACTAAGTAACTCTAGTTGCTAATTTTGCGTATTTATTGACAAGCCTTTTTGATGATCAATGCGATCGACTTTAAAATATTGAGTTCTGTTTCCCCGAATTCGATCAAGATCACTGGATGATATATAGTTCAAAATCAAATACACAAACCACTACCATACTTTCGAATCTTTTGGATAACAAGATAATCATCACCCCTAATTGATACATTAAGTCTGGAATTAATAATTAAAATTATTCTGGTAGTTGGAGGTATTCGACAGGATTACCAATAAAAATCAAGGAGTTTCAGACAGTCGTTTTATTTTTGTATGAAACTCCTCAGCAGTGCAAAACTAGGTTTCATCTTATCTTCCAAGTACATCACATTGTACTTCATCACTGATCTAAAACTAAAAAAACCTTTACATTGAACAGTTTAAACGATATTCCATTTTCAATGTTAATATATTGTTACTTACTTTGATTCTTTCTAACTATTCATCATTAAAATAATGTTAGACTTCATCTACATGTATCATCTCATTAATATGCATCATGATTTACGAATTCATCAACAAAGCATACCTGTGATTTGAATGGAACTGGAGTTCGAACGCACATCATGCACCATCTTAGTAGTACAAACCATCACTAGTATATTCCCGATTCACATCACCACCTCAACTGGCTTTCTATAGTGGAAGACTATGATATTCATGCTTGCATTTTCTTCCAGACTTCGTGTCTTAAATTTCATTCACCGTTAATCATCGTTTACTTATTCTACCCACTCAACTTCCCATTTGTTATACATTAACTTCCGTTACATATTGTATCCCACTATTTTCTGTCCTATTGATTAACCTTGAAAATTTTATATATATATATATATATATATATATATATATATATATATATATATATATATATATATAATTTATATAATCATAATTTATTCAACGTTAAGGGTTTCTGATTGTTGGTTCACCTTACTTATAGTATTTTTTTTCATGGGTACGTATATCTGTTGAATATCTATGTACAAGTTATTTGTTTACATCTTGTGTCCAGAAGTCAATCTTTTTTGTTTGTTTGTTTGTTTACTTACGTGTTGTGTAATATTTAAAAACCTAGACGTTAGCAGTTTAAATCTACGTGAATGAATTTCGTCTATGCTATTTTTTGTGTGTATGTGTTTATGTAGGTAAACCATGTGTCGAAAATGTAATTAAATAATAAAAGAAAAGTAGTTTTTATCAGTGATTGTCTAATTGATCATGGAATATAATCAATTTAGTTTTTTTTAATTCGCCTAACTGTTTTCACCTTTACTTTTCTCCTCAGTTCTATTTATTTCTATATATTGCACCATACTACTTACTAATATTCAGTAGTCAAAATAGTCGTCAAATATATTTGAATGTATGACTTCCATGTTGTATTGTAGTTCTAATCATGAACGTGGATCTATGATATTTAATGCATTTATCAATGTGACTGTATTTCTTGACACTTACTTTCACTTTCGTATTTAGTATAATTGTTTTTTCACTTGTATTAGCTTACATAGTTTGTGTTCATAGTCCTCGTTTTTCACTTCTAGTCACAGATATTGACTATTGCTCAGTGTACTGAAGCACTCCGTTCCTTATACCGATACACCTAAGATAATTCATGAATCAAAGTTTGTAAAATTCACTATATATGTTATCATCTACAACAGTATTGTTTTGTTGACATACCTTTTGTTTTTATATTAAGATTATGAAGTGATTTAGGTCAGACATCCATTGCTAGTCGAGAAGCACTGAACAAATGTCCCTTCCTAGTATAATACTTCTCAACATTGTCCATCTACTCTTCTGCCATATGGATGAATGAATCTCGTACGAAAATTCAAGAGTCACTTTGTTAAGTTGAATCGATTCGTCCATAGATTGTAGTCTCTTTTACAGTTTTCGTCACTAATTGTACATCGTGGATTCACTATGTACGGTTGTGACTGCACTTCTTTTTTTAAAAAGTAGTGACAACCTTCAGTGCTCGTTGTTTTTCAATAGTTATTCAGTTAATTTCAATTTTTATGTTGAAATCAATGTTCTTACCTCTTCATATGATTTTAGAATGGTAAACAACCAATCGATAAGCCGAAGTTTATACTTTGTCTAACATTTGCTGAAAATGGTGATCTGCTGACTGGTGATTCTGCTGGAAATATTATTGCATGGAAACGAGGTAAATAAAATAAAGTTCGTTACTCTTTGTTAAATTCTTTGGTATGGCCGTTTAATCTTTTTTGTATTTACAAAATGTACCTAGAATGTTTCGCTTTCAAAGCAGCTTTGTTAAAACATGGTAATATTTTAGGGTTTTGGACAATGTGGTACGGGTTACTAAATAAATCTATCGAATGATTTTTTCCCTCCCGGTTATTTGACTAATCAGTTGGTAAATAGAATGTCATTGATTCCCCATGCAAACATAAATGAGCTAATCGATTATCGAACTAGAAAGAGATATGTATCATACATCTGCTTTCCTGTCATTTCAGCCTAGTTACACAGGACCCAATCAAAATCAAACAAGCAATCTGTTTTTTTCCTCAACATAATAAATATCTATTTGTTAAAAACCAAATACCATTTTAATATCGATTAGAAAATGATTCTCACGTGCTAACTAAACATATTACCTATTGGTCACTGACAGAAGTCTTCCCTATTATATTTACATTTTTTAAACTGATCATATGAGAAATATTTTGTGAAGGTGTGAGTTTTTTAATAACGCCTTAATTACCCTATAGAGTATGACACTTTCAATAGAGAAAGTATAGTTTTACTATCTTTCTTCATCAAATCATAAATGATCTTAAGAAAATGAAGCTACATTTTAGCCAATCCGAATACAAGTGATATATATTGATGATTGAAGTTTGTATTTTGAGTTCGGATCAGGATCAAACATTCAAATTGATGTTTTGGGAATAGAATGCAAGAATACTTCTTATTTAATATTGACATATAGATATATAGTGTATTTTATCAAGCATCTTTAAATCACCTTCGAAGTCATGTTAAAATGTTATATACATTTTAATTCTATTTGTTTTCGACGAAACCATAATTTATGGACGACCTTTGAGTGACACTAAAGTGATCTTGAGAATATCCACCTACTAACTAGGACTAATTGAGGGTTATGCCCCAAAATGCCCTGGTACGGCCGAGAGTGGGAAGTCCGCTCTCCCTCTCGAAATGCTCTCACATGGCCATGCGTATATAGCCTCTGCCAAGGAAGTCCTACTCACTGACTTCTCGTGGCGGGGGTGTTGTTTACAAAAATGAGAGGACGAAAAGCGAATGTCCGGCGCTTTAACCGGATCCCAAACCAATGGTGCACATGGGCTGGCTCCAGTATCCTGAAGGAACAAATGGCGTATGAACCAATCGTTGGTCACAGGTTATCATGGGACTGCATCTCCTCACGATGCTCCACTGCCTTGTGGATCAGACGTTCAAGTCGAAGTCTCGGGGTGTGGCTCTCTAAGAAAACCACCTGCTTCGGTTTGGACACCCTGGCAGTATCACAGCCCTCACACAAATCAATTGAGATTCGTGTGGCGCATATGTATTTGGTGCCTCCTTGTACCAATATCTATGTGTTAACATAAATAATAATAATAATTGAGGGTTATAAAGCAGTATGAGGAATTAGAATTATGATTTACAATTGATGGTTAGGCTTAGAAATTAGATTTAGGGTTTTCATCATGAACCGACTTCAGCTAAAATACCAAAACGCTATTTAGCCAAACGAGTAAATTTCACGCCAAAATCCAAGGCGTGTTATCCTAAATCTGATTGGTTCGTCTAATAGTCTTACCAATAAATGTTCGTGACTTAGTAGCGCATTCGCATTTCAATTATCAATATGAGTGCAATATTTAGCATTTTTTTCCGTTCATTTAGTGAGTGGATGTGGCATATTTATTTATTTATTTATTTATTTTAACACATAAGTATAGGTACAGGGAGGCACCAAATACATATGCGCCATACAAATCTCAATTGATTTGTGTGAGGGCTGTGATACTGCCCGGGTGCCCAAACCGAAGCAGGTGTGGCATATAAGGAAAAGTATAATTTTCACTGAGGATTTCATTGCACGCTTTGTCCTAGACTTTATTGGCTTTTTTCCATCCAACAATTGGATAAACGCCAAAACGATACATTTACAGAAGACACATGTTGATTGTTGAAATGAAGTCTCGAATGAAAATATCTAACACTTTCCGTTTCATTTAAGTGAGCGAATACTGCATGTAAGAGTATAATTTTCACTTAGTATTTCGTCTCATGCCGTGACGTTCTCTTTATTACATTTTCCCGTCCGACAAGCTGGAATGCAGTACGATGGTGTGTTCACAGAAGTGGTATGTAGATTAGTTTGTACTATGAAAACCGCTTCCCCAGTGAAAATTACGTCCTTACATGTATCAATGACGCAGAAAGTGATCGGAGAAAATATCGGAAAATCCTGGACCTTTCTCACTTTTATTAAATATCAAAAGAGATGGTTCTCATTACTTCTCCAGTTCGTCCCTAATTGTGTAGTTTTTGTCACGTTTATCAAATTGTAATAGCCTTAGTAACTTCCGCCTACTTAGCTCTTAATAAGTTGCAAGTTTTCCGTCATCATATATTGAATTTAGTAGAAAATTTCAATAGTTTTTATCTTACATATGAGTGATTCGTCAGTAAATTATACTTCTGCCTTCTAATCTTCTTTGTTGAATGGTTTTGAATTATCATCATTATAATCACTATTATGATTCAGGTACAAATACAGTGAATCAAATATGTCAAGGTGTACATGAAGGCGGTATATTTTCATTATGTTTAACAAGTAATGGACATCTTATATCTGGTGGTGGAAAAGATCGTCGTTTAGTATTCTTTGATGCAGCTCTTAATCCAACTGGTCATACTGAAGAATTAACTGAATTATATGGTGCTGTAAGAACTATTACACAAGGTCCTGGAGAATTATTAATTATTGGCACAACAAAGAATATGATACTACAGGTATTATATACTTTAGTATTATTGTTGCATTGAATATTGTCTGTTTTACCGTTTTTGGTACCTCATGACAAGCACTTTTCGATCGTTTTTGAACGTAATCTCACTTTAATTGATTGTTGGATGAACGTTTACGGGAATCAGAGTGTATGGACAACCTTGGAATACATTGTAGCTGGAGAGAAAACTGTTTTGTTGTGAAAAGGTTTATGATGAGAAAAGAATACAGTTTCAATACATTATCAAACATTTATGTTTTAATTATTAGGGTTTTCATCAGGAAATGACATCAACTATAATACAGTAATGAATTTTTCTTGAAACCTTCTTAGTTCGTCCATAAACTTCAATTTACTGAATTTTCTAAAAGGTAAATTTTGGCGACACGCCACATAACAGTACCTATGTCACATATTGTGAAGACTGAATAGATCATATTTCCCAAGTCCACCAGTCGGCGAGGTGTACAAACGAAGCATATCACCGGAGTAAGTAAATTTATCACTAAACCTAGGTTGAGATGTGTGCACGATTATTCGATTTTATCAGTTTTCTCATTAGAATAATGGAGTCTGGTCAACCGTAGTAGAATTTTTACTGGATCAGCATACAAAATGATTTAATTCAACTAGTTTTCTCTAGTGATATAAATTTCTTCTTTTCTTTTAAATAAAGGCTGGTCCTGGTATGGAAATAAGTCCTTTAATGTTTGGTCATTCTGAAGAATTTTGGAGTCTTGCTAAACATCCACAAGCTCATCAATTTTTAACTGGTGGACGTGATCATTTAGTTATTCTATGGGATTCATTATCAAAACAAGCTATATGGTCAAAAGAATTCACTGATGCTATACATTGTGCTGCATTCTATCCACTTCAATCACATTTAATAACAAATGGGACTATGAGTCCAGTTAATAATGATAATAATATAATTGATGAAACAAATAATTTAGATTTTAATGTATCAATGATGAATTCACATGATTTATTAGTAGTATTAGGCACAAGTACAGGACGTTGGTTAGTATTCAATTGTTTAAAACAAGAAATAATTGCTGCGCATTCTGATGGACTTGGTGAACAGATCGAATGTGTTGCATATTCACCTGGTATGTTGTTATTATTGTTTTCTTTTCTTTTGTTCTCATATGTATTCATTTATGCATACTTGTTTTGTTAAACTTATAATTTAATTGTTAACTCTGTTTCTGTCAACATTACATAGTAGTAACAGATGTCACGTTTATCTAGTTCTTTGATCAATAGTGATCGAATTCCATCAATCAGTTTGCTCGTGGTTACCCGTCTAAATGACTTGACATCACATTCACTATGTCGGCGAGAAACTTGACAGACTGTCTTCTTCAACCTCATGTTTTCTTCACACATACATACATACACACATTCTAAATACATACATACATGCATACATAAATACACACACACATACATGCTTACAGACACAGATACATACTCACATATCTCTCAATTTACACATCTACCTACCTACATGTCTACTTACCTACTGCCTACCTGCCTATTTAGCTTTCTAATTCCTTGCCTATCTAAATAACTGTTCACCTGCTTACATATCGATCTTCCTATATCCTGACCTATCTATGTAATTTTCTATCAACCTACCTATTTCCCTCCCACCATCCCTCCCTCCCTTCCTCCGTCCCTCCCACCGTCCCTCCCTCCAACCCTCCCGCTCTAACTACCTACCTACATAAATGCCTAACAATTTAACTACCAACCTATCTACATGACTACATATTTACCTACATGCATACATACCTATTTACTTATGTACTTACCTAACTATCTGGCTAGCCACCTATCCACCTACCTACATATGTACCTAAATATCAAATTACATATTTTAATACCTATCTACCTAAAAACATGCCTACTTAACAACCTACCTACATAACTGTCTGCCTACATATCTACCTACCTACCTACCTAACTACCTACCTAACTAAGTCTATACCTAACCGCCTACCTACATAATGCCTATCTACCTACATATCTACCTACCTACCTATCTGACTTACAACATAACTACATAACTATCTACGTACCTATCTGCCTAATATCCTGACTGCTTACCTACCTAAATACTTACCTGCAAAAATATTACTACATAAATACCTCTCTACCAAATGCCTACCTAGCTTACTGCCTACCTATATTCCTAAATATCTGCAAACCTACCTAACAAACTTCCAACCTTACTGATTACTTAACCACCTGCCATCCTATATTCATACCTCTATATTTCTACTTATCAAACTACCTAAATGTTTGCCTACCTATCTAACTGCCTACCTAGATACTGCCTACATACCTCATCAACTACTAACATAATTACATACCTAAGTACCTACCTAACAACGTACATACATACATACATTCATACATACATACATACATACATACATACACACACACATACTACATACATACATACTAGATACATACATACATATATACTAAATACATAAATACATACATACATACATACATACATACATACATACATACTAAATACATACATACATACATACATACATAAATACATACATAGATACATAATTACAGACACAGATACATAGCCACATATCTCTCTATTCACACATCTACCTACCTAGATCTCTAGCTACCTACTGCCTACCTGCCTATTTAGATTTCTAATTCCTTACCTGTCTAAATGACTATGTACCTGCTCACATATACAAATATACATACATACATTTATTCATACATACATACATTCTTACATACATAAATACATACACACATACATACATACTAAATACATACATACATACATACATTTATACATACATACATGAATACATTCATACATATTAAATACATACATACATACATACATACATACGGCAAACATACATATATTCATACTTACACATATACTACATAATTACAGAAACAGATACATAGCCACATACCTCTCTATTTACACATCTACCTACCTAGATGTCTACCAACCTACTGCCTACATGCTTATTAAGCTTTCAATTCCTTAACTGCCCACATATACAAATATACATACATAAAAACATGCATACGTACATACTTACATACATTCATACATACACACATACTACATACAACATACAACATACATACATACATACATACATACGACAAACATACATACATAAATACACACACACATACATGCTTACAGACACAGATACATACTCACATATCTCTCTATTTACACATCTACCTACCTACAACCTATATTATATATAAAGTACTATCATGGTGTACACTAGTTATTTCTGAAGATTATATTGTATAACATTTGTCGGAAATTGAATGCCTGGCAGCAGAACGTTGAATGGTCGAATTGAAGAGAACGAGAGGTGAGTAACCGAATTATTCATGTAGGAACGATGAAGTCTGACACATTTAATAGAGAATTTGCTAATAAAGTGTTAAATATATGGTTTTCACACTACCAAAGTACAACAAATTCATTTCATTTTTCTATTGGTTGTTTTAGTCTTCCTATTGATATTTAGGACTGCTATTGATCAGTACCCGCTAGCATCTTTCATTGGCTCAAGGTATCACATAGTGATTATAACCACATGTTTCATTTACGAACAAATATTTCTTTTCATTTTTTTTTCCAATTTTTCACAAATCAAATTACCGCTTGACAACTAGTTATTTTATTCATAAAGGATTATTTGTATTTAAATACTTAACAGTTACGTACCTCATGGTATTCTATAAATGTAATTTATTCCTTAAATTATGATGTATTCTGAAAACCATTCAACTGTTTCACTCTCGATATGTTTAAACTCCATGAGTTATGACTTTCAACTAGAAAATCATCTTGGAGTCATCTTGAAGTCAGTTACTAATGAGCTACCTATTAGAGTTTAATTGAAAGGGTTTCATGAAAATTGGTTTCATTTATTTATTATATTCGTCAGAGATCGGTTACGGTTCATGCAGCTCCTGTGGTCACTGGACAGAAATCTTGTCCTATCGCAGGAATAATCGGTAGTTACCACTTACGACCCTATCGAGGATAGAGCCCAGAACCTTCAGGTTTCATAACCAACGCTGAACTAATAGAATCGCTTGATGAATTAAAACTACTACTATTTTTTTCCTTAAAATCATCTGTCTACAAGTTTAAAGCAATTAAAATCCACAATAAATTAAATGGTTAATAAGAAATTCACATGGGCATATTTCAAAATATCCCCCTTGTGAATTACCATACGTTCAATACTTCATTTGCAAAATCTTTATCAATTGTCCAGTCCTAGATTGTTCCCTCATTTCCATACCCATTACTATCCGTTTCCGTTCTCTTCTATTCAATCTTCTCAACGTTCTGTCTCCAGGCATTCCTCTGTCTATTATCTGTCAATATCAGTAGCATACATCATAACACAGCCACTTGAAGTTCCCTTTTCTATTCATGTATCAATCATCATACGCATCACTAATTTCCGTATATTTACAAAAACTTATTACTATTAAATAACAACCCAAATTATTTATGAAAACTAAACCATTACAAAGAGTAAATCATCTTAGTAAGATCATAATCAATGAAATATCTATTCTGTAAACCTACAAACCAATATAACAAATAATATTGATTGAATGATTAAAAAAAACGTGCACTGAAAGTTCAATGATTTTTAAAACCATAAAGTTCATAGTAACACTAACATTTTAGTTGATTTTGAGTTCATCAAAATCATTAAATAAACAATAAATAATGATAATACCAGAAGAGGTTTAATGAATATTATTAGTAATTCTAATATTTGACATCATGGGTCAATTGAAGCTAGACCACTATGGAAAGCCTGGAAGCACTGGACGGCCGTTTCATCCCATTGTAGGACTTCTCAGTAGTGTAGCTCAATTTGGTGGATTAGTTGGAGTTAGACATTAACACGATGAGTCCCATAATAAGGATGAAACGGCCTTCCAATGCTTACAGGCTTTCCATGGTGGTATAACTTCAAATGATTCATGATCTCAACTATTAAAAATAAGGATAATTTAGCAAAAAGAAATTTTTTTATTCCCATAAGACCATTAACTTAATCTTTACAATCATATTTAATTTGTCATATTTGTAGTTAATTAAAATACATAAGTCTATAACAAGGCAGAAAATCATTGAATTATATGCAATATATTGTACTCCCATGTTTCCACTGCAGGAGATTGAATCTTAGAATCTTTAATCCATAGTAGTATAATTTCTACTTCGATCAATTTGGCACAATGATTATCCGATGTCATTAACGATTACTGTATCACAGATAAATCTTGATATAAACTATTATGTTTATTGAGATTTCCGGTTAACCTATTTAACATCCTATTTACGAACTATTGAGTTTCTTCTAATATGAATTAAAACGAAAGGTAACTCTAACAGAAAGGAAATATAACACACAATAACACTTCTACATTTGTAATCCAAAGATTAATATGAAATAATGATGAAACTTTTAGGAACAGAAGTCATAAATAGAAATGGAATAACTGTGCATGTACAGTAATACCTAACGACGTTGTGACACATAACGTGACTCAAGAAAATTAGATAAATTGGCCTATCCAGAAGCTAGAATAAGTTATATGGGCTTAACATAGTGTAACCGATACTACAACATTACGTTAAAAATACAATATCAATATAAGAGAGGAGAAATATATCGTTTTTACATTGTAATATAAGATTAATAGCAAATATACTTACTTACCTATGAATTTGAATCAAGCCAAAACGAACATGGATGCAGAATAATAATGGAATTGGTTATATATCGTGGTTTCTCATCAGCTGCTTACAAGCAAATATGTATTGGGATTTTACATTGAGGTAAGATATAGTGTGAAACAATTGATATAAGTGAATTAAAGAATTAGGAATGATAAGGGTTATCAATAACAACTATATATATATATATATATATATATGCAAGAACAGGTCAGAGGTTATTTGATGTTAGAATGTGTGATGTAATAGTTGAGTGGAGTTCAGAAGCAGCTATGATAAATTATGTGATCAGTTTAGAAGTAATGA